GACTCTTTTGCATACGAGATGTTTTATCCTGACATAAACTAATATTGGCTCCCCGCCAATATGATGATTAATTTCGGAATTACTTTGCAACAACATATGGCCGGATTTGAGTATTTCGTTTTCACTGATACGCAAGATGTTCCATGTTTTGTAGTTCGTAGTCTAGACGCTCGAGGTGATTTTTAAGTCTCGTGGTTCGTATGTTGTAAGTTGCAATTAAGAACATCTTTCCACCAGGTTTTTTCTGGCAAAGTTAAATTCTTGCCTCCCCCAGAATCCTTGAGGCAGGCCGACGAATCAGTCGGAGATTCTGAGATAGATGCATATCTATTCGCCTGGGGTAATTGGTTTTTAGAATATTTACTATTCATAGTGTTGTTTGGAAGGATTTAGCATTTCAAACCGACGCGTTTGCCGCTTGCGTTAAAAGCGTGCTGGCGAGTGTTTTATTCAGCCTCCCACTCTCGGTCAGACATTGCATGGGAAAATCCCATTTGCGTTTGCCATGTCTGCAGGTCAATGCAGTTGCGCGGGGTAGCGCTAGGAGCAATAAGTGAGAGCTGGGAACCCTGTGAGGACTATTCGTCTATACCCACCTCCTGTCTATGACTCTTGGTAGGACCGGTCGACATGAAAAGTGCTACCTCTACAGCGAAACCCCAAACATCTCTTGGGCACATTGAACTACTTTAATATCCATAACAGCAAACAGTTCACAATGGATCTTCAAATTACATACATAAATGTTTTTCGGGCTTTGAAGGCGTGGTCTATGGGAATTTCTTCCTGACGTTTTGTCCACAACTGCGGTGGACATTATCAAAGACGACGAGGCAGTGGGCGAAATGATCTCCCGTGTCCATGTCTATGTGATTGGTCCAAAATGTCCATTTTGCACCAATCTCAACGGTATTACCCGAGACTATCCAGAGAGTCCATTGAGATCTTTAAACATGACAACAATTTTAATAGGAAAGAAGAGGTAACGACTCTTAATCCAGATTGGAAACGCGTTTTGCGGCAAACAGCGTGTGCGCCAAAGCCATTGAAGCCCCGCTAACTCCCCACGCATGAGCTCACACGGCCGGGCCGCATAAATACGACAGGGATCCCGTAGTTGATCCCATAGGCAATTGTGGTATTGGTTCCGAAGAAAGACTCAAAAAGGAAACTGCTCACGTCCTACAGGTCCATCAGCTTATTACCAATGATGGGCAAAATTATGGAGAAGTGTATCCTGTACCAAATCCAGGATACAATAGAAGATAAGAAAGTGCTGCTGGATGAGCAGCATGGATTCAGGCCGGGCCATGGCACAAGCACACTTGCCGCCCGGCTAACAACAAGAATCCAACAAATGTTAAATCGCCGAAAAAGTCTAGGAGCTGTCTTTCTGGACATGTCTAAGGCATTTGACAAGGTTTGGCACCAGGCCCTGATTGCCAAGATGATTAAGGCAGGCTTTCCAGGGTACCAAACAAAGCTCATCAGCAGTTACTTGTCCGGACGAAGTTTCCAAGTCATAGCAGACGAGCAGCTCTCTGCAAGCAGGCCAATGATGTCAGGAGTACCGCAAGGGGCGGTTCTGGCCCCTACCCTGTTCAATATCTACATGGCTGACCTTCTAATCAACAAGAATACAGAAGGCTACATCTACGCTGACAATGTAGCCTTCACTACCGTCGGGAAGGGTCCTGCCATCCAAGCCAAACTGCAGAGACAGCTCAACAAGGTCGGAAATGGAGCGGGGACTGGAAAATGGAGTTCCACCCAGCAAAAAGACAAGCCATCATATTCACAAGAGGCACGAAGAGCACCCAGAGGCCTACTAAAGCTTGCAGGACAGGGGCTACCATGGAGGTCCAAGATAACCTATCTTGGACTTACATATGACAAGCGTCTAGTATGGCACTACCAAATGACAAACACCATCGCCAAGGCAAGATTCCTGCTCCATGCCTGCTATCCTCTGCTGTCAGGAAAACTCTGCCTATGAACTAAGGCCAGAGTTTGCAAGCAAATGATACGCCCGGTGCTGACCTATGAATCTCCTGTGTGGTCCATAGCTAGCACCTCGCAAAAGCAGAAACTGGCAGTATTTCAGAGTAAAATACTGAGGATAGTGACCCAATATTGACCAAGTGACCAAGTCCCCATATTTCGTCAGAGATACCACCCTGCGAAGAGACCTGGATACCATCCACTGCTGGACCACATCCGGAACCTAACGTCAGGGTTCCTGGATAGGATCCGGCAAAGCAAGAATCCCACCGTCAGGGTTTCTTGCACCAAGAAGTTCAACTGCGACCGCAGACCTCTCCCTGCGGACACAGTCTAAGAAGCAGACGTGGACCACATGACCAGTGCCTGCACCACAACGAGGACCATGGGCCAGATTTAAGTTAGCTTAGGAAGCATTAGAGGATGTGTTATGGTTTAGTTTTAGGTTAGAATAAGTTAGATTAAGTCATACGATGTCATTTAAAACAACAAGATGTTAGCATTAAGGATCCGTAGAATAAGTAGCAGTAAGAAATATGTAAAACTTGTCTGAAATAAATATGTTCAAAAGCAAAAGTAGTTGAATCAGTCTTAGTCGGAAAGCACGGGAGGTCACTTCGCCCACTACCTCATCGCCTTTGATAATTTCCACCCCAGTTGTGGACGAAACGTCAGGAAGAAATTCCCATGGACCACGGCTTCAAAGCCCGAAAAACATTTCAATATGTGATTTGACTGGCCGTGAAAGCCTTCATAGTCTGAGCTTCAAATTGATAATAAGTTTAACTTTTTGGATCTGCAAATTTCCATTAATAACCATAAGTTCGCCTATGACATTTTCCGAAAATCCACTCATACTGAACATTTAATTAATTTTCATTCGCATGATCCAGTTCTACACAAAATGGCTGCTCTTAGTTGGTTAGTCTAGATGCTTCTGCATGTTCTATTGTCATCTAAAAAGTATGACAAGGAGTTGAATGTGCTCAAGTTCATTGCCACCAGAAGCAATTATCCAAAAACCCTCTACTGATTCCTTAATGTCGATGGCCAGGAAGAGGATGAGAGTTGCTGAGGCTTCGGGTGGACTTTTTGACTCCAGTGGTCGCAGGTCCTATTATTAATTGCCATATCTGGGCCCGATTTCACAGAGGGTTGCTAAACTTTTCAAAGGTCTTGAGCATGTTCATATTACATTCAGGTCTGACAACAGCTTTTCGAGTTTTTTTATGTCGGAAAAGGGATATCATTGGCGTGTTGGACAGGAGCCAAATATTCAAGCGCAACTGTTCTTCAGTGTGTACACATTCGCCAGTGGCGTAGCGGGAGGAGGGCAAAAGGGGGCATTGTGCCCGGGGCGCTACTCATAAAAGGGCACCAAATGGTCCGCAAAACAAAAAGTTACTGGAGAATATTTATTTATATTATAATTGATTTCTGGAAAATGTATTGTAAATTTAGTGCCAGTGTAATATAATAAATGTTAATTCGTAAATGAAACGAAAGAAAAGGAACACTAATAGTCTAATTCAAATTGTAAACGAGTTTATTGAAATACATACTAAATATGCAGCCTCGATCAGAAATACAATTTTAGAGAAACTAAATTCCGATGAAATTTTATTAACAAACTGCAGATTACAGTGTTACGATAATGCTGCCGTGATGGCAGGTCACACATCTAGCGTTCAAGAATGAATAATCGGAAAAAATGATTAGGCATTATTTGTAAATTGTGATTTGGAAGTGTGGTGACCTTTCATTGAATTTAGTAGGAGTTGCCAACTGTAGCCAACAAGATCAAATCGTTGTGATCTATCTATCTCTATCGTTGTGATCGTATCTCTTTTTCTCACGTTCAACGTTACGATGGGAATGATTTTAAAAATGCTTTAACAAAAACTGCCAAACGTGAATGTGAAACACTATGGAGCGCCAGAATACAAGCGGTTAATGTTATCGTCGATGGGGTAGAGAATATAGTAGAACTCTTAGAGATATTAGCAGAGGACACTACCCCTACCAGTGACACCAGAATTAAAGCTTCAATTCTGTTGCAAAATATACGAACTTTTAGTTGCATAACTTCAGTTCATTTCCGATATGAAGTCTTAAGGGGGATTGATCCTGTGCAGCTCAGATTACAAGCCCCTAGAATGAATTTTAGAGAAACGTTTCAAGATCTTGAATCATTAACGAGTGAACTAGCCGAAATTTGAGACAAACTTTGTGAAGAGGTAATAGAAGAAGGGAAGTGTATTTGTGATCAATGGGATATTGATACAACAATACATATAAGGAGACGCCACAACATGCCCGGAGAATCGGCTAGAGATGTTGGTCTTTCCGCAGAAAGTGAAAATTCTCGCGTTATGAAAAGCGGTCTTGATAGTCCCCAACAAGAAATATGAATAAGATTTACACGATTAAGTGTCCTTAATTTAAAATTTGGATTTCTACTAGATGCTGAAAATTTATTAACCGAAAATAATGTTGACAACGGCCCTGAAAAAATTGTAAAAATTTTGGTGAATTCTATAATACAGATTTGAATGAAATAGAACTCATTATCGAAATATGTTACTGCAAAATGTTACACTAAGTGACCTAGCATTTTTAAGTATGAAAAGAGAAAAATTGTAAATGGTCAAACTTTGATGATATTATCGATACATTTGCTTGATCAAAAGCAACGAAAATTTATTAATGTATTATAATCATATTATCTCCTTAAAGATATTTATTTTATCTTTTGTACCTGACCCAAAAATTTAAAAAAGATTTATCGAAGAATTGTATGGAACTAACACATTCGAAGAATTAAAAAAATATAACTTTTTAAGTTTGTGACATTTAATACTTAACGTTTGATACATTTACCCTTATTTAGAGAGAATGCATTTCCGTCCATATCGGTCAAGCCGGTGTCCAAATTGGTAACGCCTGTTGGGAGCTGTACTGTCTTGAGCATGGAATTCAACCTGATGGCCAAATGCCTTCTGATAAGACCATCGGTGGGGGCGACGATAGCTTCAACACATTCTTCTCCGAGACTGGAGCTGGGAAACATGTACCCAGAGCTGTGTTCGTCGACTTGGAGCCAACTGTTGTTGGTAAGTTAAGAATTTAAAAATGAAAAAAGTTACCTCGGCTGCTCGGATATCGTGAAAAATATGCTTTATAGCGGAATCAAAGAAACACAGCTATCAAGTGATAACGAAATGAATCTACCCCTACCCCCTATAAATGAGACAGGCTTCTAAACAACAAACTATTTGAATTTGAATCAGTTGTAAATACTAAATCCAAGAAGTAGGTACATAAAACAATCTTCTTGTTTCTTGACTCTGCTCTCAACAATTTGTCAGCACGATTTTAGTCGGGGTCAGAATAGACGAGCTTCCCACTACCCGACCCTCCGATTTATTCTTCCAGTCTCAGACAAAGTATCAAACAAATGTGAACACAAACTGTGATAAAACTTGAAGACAACTGGGGTTTAGTAACTCACACAACAAAGGTAGACTAACTGGTACAGATATAGAGACCGATACAGTGGGATTAGGGATGACGACACGACCTGTAGCTGAGCCTAAGTTCTACAACATTCAAATATTTAAAAAAAATTGTTACAATTAAAATCTTATTAAGCGTTAACAATTTCATGATTGCATTGATTGACTTTTCTGTAGGATGACCAAGTATTACTGAATTCTTCATATAAAGATTATATATTATTATTAAATTATTATATTCATTCTAACGTTGGCTTACCATGAATTGGACACGCAAAAAATATGCGATCTAAGTGATCAACGGAACCGCAATCACATAATGGGTTGTCTCTAAGGTTTAACTTAAACAAATGTTCTCTTTTCAAACAGTGTCCGGTTCTCATACTTTTGTTTGAATTAACAGAACTATTTTTTTTCTTTTTTCTTGTCAAATTGGTATTTTGAATGGCAAGAAGTACGTTCCCCATTCAACGAATCCTGTTAAATTTACCGTTTATACTTGACTATTTTATTGTCATTTTATGTATAATTCCATGGTTACCGGAGTTTTTAATAATTACGAAGCAACAGGTATTTACGGAATGTAATATTACCTTTAAAAACATTGTTGCCGTCTTTCTGATATAGTTTTTTGCAAATTCTCAGTTCTTAATAACAATTTTTTTACTGTTTTTTATGTACTCCTAAAACACCCCCGGCCAACACCTCCAGAGGAATGATTCCAATTTTGAATCACCCTGTATATTTATATCTTCTAGTACTTATTTATAATTTCCTTAAAACCACTTTATTTTGTTTTAATTGGTTTTGCTCAGTACCCATCTAAGAGGAAATACTATTGACGTGAATATACCTTACACCATACAGCTGGAAAATACAATTACAATAATTTCGAATAGTTTAGAGATTAATGCTGTTCTTTCACTTTGGGTTCCAACGGAAAGACTTTTTTCTAAAGCATCTTTGATTATTAGAAAACATCGCCACCGATTATTAATTGAATGAGCGTGTTTCTTATTTTGTTTAAGCACTTGATCATCCACATTTTGGAAAGCTTGTATTTATTTGTATCATATTATTATTAATTAATGTGTATTAAACACATTCTATGAAACAGTAAACAGTAAGATAATTTAATCTTTGCGATAAATCATGTGTATTATTAGATAATAATTGAGTTTGTTTTTTATCAGTATAATTCTGTTCGCCCAATCAAAATATTTAAATATCTACAGTTTACTGTAGCTGTTTCATTGTTGTTGTATTTTCGTTAGAATATGTAAATTACACCACATGAAAATATATTCGATTTCTCCTGATGAACATCTTCTGGATCTTAATAGACAATAAAAAAGTACGGGTCAACCATTTTCAATACAAAATAATTAAACTTATTAAAATAGAAAATGGACTGATATTTTTATTATTGTTTCGTATTGATTATTATTATCTCTTAATTTCATTACTATTCTTGTTATTATTAAATTAATACTGTTTAATTTTACAGAAAACCAAGACTTTGCAAGACTTGCAACAGTCTTGCTGCAAGATTAATACCATGCAAGTTTTGGTCTCGCTTTGCTCATCACTACATAAAAACGACAAATTTTGCTCACTCTGGCCTTCATACTAATCTACTTACCTTGGGTATACCAAAAAATGCATTTTTTTTCAGATGAAGTCCGTTCTGGAACATATCGTCAACTATTTCACCCTGAACAACTTATTACGGGAAAAGAAGATGCCGCTAATAATTATGCTCGCGGACACTACACCATTGGAAAGGAAATTGTCGATGTAGTTTTGGACAGATTAAGGAAATTGGCTGATCAATGTACAGGTCTGCAGGTAATTCCAGAAGACCATATTCTAATAGAAGTTTTTCCAAAATCATTTTACTCTGATGTTTCATACAAACTATATAATATTGATTTATACAGTAGTTTTATTCGCGGTAGCGATTCATGATTGGTTCAGAACCGATATCGAACCGAATTATGGCGCAGGCTCGATTCAGGACCTGTGCAGAACCGATCCATGATTCTTTCGTTCCGCGAATGCTTTTAGAACCACCGTTAAGTAGTACAAAGAGGATTTTAGTTCTTTGTGCCTAACAGCAATTTCCATAAACTGAAATGCAATGGAGTGAAAGTGGAAAGACGGATCTGCTGTGTTTTTATGATCATGGTTGCTCTGCGAAAAGTGTCAGTTTTTGATTATTTTGAAAAAAAAAAAGAATTATTGAGGTTTTTTATCGCATTTAATTAATTAATTTTTAAAAAGCGACTGTACAAACGCAAGATCTTACATCTGCTGTATTTGATCTGCTTTTTTTGTACACTTACCGCTGGTGGTACAATTGGTACCATCGACGACCTTTTGTCTGCATCTCGTTTCTTAATTCAAATTTATGGCTTTGCTTCCATTTACCCTGAGGCGAAAAATT